ATGTATATAATAAAAACGCATGTACAATACCACATGGAAAGTGCTTTGTACGGTATTTACGCACAAGTTGTTTTTGTATCAGAAATCTTACTCGTTCGCTGCGCTCACTCGTTTGATTTCTGATACTTCAACAACTCGTGCGTGAATACCGTACGTATACCGTATTTTGATGGTAGTTTTTTGGAATATTATGTTCAACAGGCAACAGTCGAATAAAATACCTTGTAACTAGACTTGGAGTGTTAAATTAGTCGCAAATCAGTAATTTACCAATACAATTCCAAGCTATTTTTGATGGTAATTTATTGAGATCATATCTAGCATATGATAATGCAAGAAGAGACCATAAAAGCAGACTTGGGTTGTTATGTGACAGATAAACCAGTAATTTACCAATACAACTCCAAGCTATTTTTTATGGCAATTTATTGGAAAATCACTTCGAGCACATGATAATAAATATTCAATAACATTTTTATAACCAGGCATCGATTGTTTTGTTAGGTGACTGATAAACCAGTCATTTACAAATAAAACAGTAACTCAAATTTGTTTTTTATGGTAAGTCACTGGATGATCACTTACAGCTTGCAAATCATCCATTAAAAAGCAAACAGTGAAGCAAATCTGGATTGCCAGTCATTCCTTTAGCATCAGCGGTTAACTCACAATAGCGGCAAGTAAGAGAAACGTCTCCCTCTGCTTCCATTACAGTTTGTTTAAGACACAAAGCAAAAAAGAAATAGACAAGAAACAGGATGTAACATGTCGATCAAAGTCGATCATTGAAACGTAGTGGATAAGTCAATAGTACTCAAAATTTGTCGATAATTGTCAATCGACAAGTCAAATTTGTCGAGAAAAGTCGATAATCAGAAGATTCTTAGCTGTTTATCGATTTTATCGAAAAATTTTTCAATCAGCTATGAAATTCAAGTAACCAAACCAATAATAGCTTGAATGACTTTTTCCAGCTTTTCTATGAAAGTGTAAAAAGCTCTAAAGTAAATCTGTATGGCAATAAAGCTAAATAATTCAGCTGAGCGAAATCGTGATCTGTAACATAATTCGTACCAACCTAGTTCTCAGAGTCTCTCTTGGCGGGAGAGATGAGAGATCCTGGGAACTCGAAGTCGTGTTTCTCAGAGGGGACAGAACGGGTCAAAGTTTAGACTGGATGCGGGAAAAAATCAAGGCCATTAAAGTAATTAAAAAGTAAAGTAAATTGGCATTTTATTTTCGTCACTGATTTTACTCAGTTCAACATTTGACAAACACAAGCTGTGGCTACGACTGTCCTCCTTAGGTTGGCTAAATTCGCGGGAGTTTGTATGCCCCTTGCTTCTCCTTGTGCTTGGAGAGTTGTACCAGTCCGCAACCTACGTATGACAGTAAAAATACAACAAATTACGATTGCTCAGTATCAGAAAATATGAACCCGTGTATATAAACAGTTAATCTCGCCAGATCTAGCCTTGTTCAGACCAAAACGACATCAGTTACAGGTACTCAGCAGTACTGTTTATTAAATCTGGTTGATTTAGTAATCTATAATCCCAGATAATCTACAATCGATGGCTGCCATTAAAGTGTGTACACAATGTACAGCTTTCACCGGCTTTCACTAACCTGTCTTTCTTCTAGCTTCAAGGCCTTTGCTATGGTTTCCATCACAGCTTTGCTTGGTTTTCCCCTACTCACATACACACTATCTAAAGTTGCAGTCTCAATGTTGCTAAACTGCTTTCGCGGGTTGATGTGTTTTTTGCATCTTTGGATTTTAATCCTGGAAAAAAAAACAGGAACAGAATATGGTAAATTAAATCATTGAGTAAATGACCATTAAATAAAATGACCTTAAATTACCTGTGAAAATTCACCTAGCTTTTTACTGCCCTTTACTGTTTTTACGTGCAATAGTAAAAGCAAAAACATGTTTCTCCTGATGGCAAGCGGACCAAGCGGCATTAAGCTAAATTATATTTCTGATTATAATATGACAATAATTATAATAAACAATTTTGACTTCTCTTCATCTCCATTAACTCCTGCTACTGTTCCTGGCTCTCCAAGAATTCCTTAAGCTTGACCCAAATTGCCCGGCTATGTGTTTTAGGTATCTCCGCAGGGGCCTTCGATAAATAATTGCAAAATGATCCTTAGGATCTGTTCAGCACCTTTTCCGCAAAAAGGCGCTGAGGTATCCCCATATCGCTTAGCAAACTGGTTAACTGTTTCGCTATTTCCTTTGGGCTGGCAGTAGCTTCAGTAGAAGAAGTAGAGGCTGTCGAGGGGACCACGTGGTTTATTGCAGGACCATCACCAATGTGTTCGTCCTCGCTGTCTTCGACCATCTCCACGCCACGTGGAACATTGGGTGCAACTGGTGTTGTCACTGCATTGATCACTGGCACGTCTGCCGCAAAATAACTCCGTTTAGACATAAATAAGCTAAAATGAATTCAACCCGGCTAATACCAGCTAATACACAGCGGTTGTCATTGCAGACACTTACCGTCGATCAGTTTTCCTCCCTTTTCGGTGACAAATTGTTTTAGGTCTGCCAAAGACATTTCTGAGATTTCAACTCGTACCATTAAACAGCGGCTTACAGTTCTTTCTTCTGCCATAGTACACAGCGAGCGGATCCTAACACACAGTTTCAGCAAAACAGAGACAGAGAATTTTAAATCGTGCATGAACACAGACAGGCACGTTTGCAACTTTCTCGACCAATCAGCGCAAACCCAAAACTGCAGAAACCTACGTCATAGGCAGAATTTGCGCTTTTGGTGCTTGAATGAATAAATGAATGAATGGTTCCAGATACAGTCGCTCAGAGATCCTTTGTTAATCGCTTCCTGATGTAATTGTTCTCATTGTTGTTCTTTACTCATTTCTTCTCGTTAAACTAGGTTTTAAGGCTAAGATTACCTCGCAAATATGCAAATATGTGTAATTACAGCGCCGTAGCTAGTATGAGGCCAACCGAGGCACTCGCCTCGGTAAAATTTTGACGAATTTCGCCGATCATTTTTATTTTACATAAGCGATCATCGGAGCCTCTCAGAAAAGATTTCGTGGCCAAAATATAACAGTTCAAAAATATATATATATAACCAAAATTTTCGCGGTATTAATACTGCAGGCATGTCAGTACAAAAAACCTGTCGGTACACCGGAAGTACCTCGCTTTCATGTGCGACGTCACAAAGTCTGTCTATACATTTGTACAGCGGTTGCTTTCAGCATGGTCTGATCGATCCGCCATTTTGTTGAGCTCGAAGCATGCAGCGTTCAATTAAATCGTTTTTAAAAAGAAAACGGTAAGTAGAGGGAATCGTTGCACCAAGTGTTTGTTTAAATTACTTGTTTATAAAATTTGGGAATGAATTTGTTGAAAAAAACTTCTTTTTAGCGATTCAACTTCCAGTGATTGCAGTGACACTGCCAGTGCCACACCGATAGAGAAGGACGAAGTTCAGGTTGAAGCCGTCGAAGATATTGATAGCAACGTTTCACGCCAAGGTCAGTATAAACAAAAGTACAGGGTTATGCCATGGTTATAATGTTTGTAATCTCTAGTGACTATATTTAGATTTTTCATGGGCAGAATGGAAAGCACTATATTTGTCAGAATTTGTTTTAAGTACTTTAATTGTTACTTAGATGTCAAGACAAACGATTTTCACCTTCATCTTGGCTTGAAAACCTCCCTACAGAAATCTTGATCTAGATATTCAAATATCAGACGATTCAGGGAAATATGTTAGGGATTGGCTCAGTATGTCGCCGATTTTATTTGATTACCGTGACATACCCAGAACTCTGGTCCACACTGGAGTCAAGTGTAGAGTTTAGTGTAGAATCATTCAAACTCATTATGACTCATGCTCGTGATTTTAAAGTTTTAGCTTTAAAATACTCGCAAAAGGTTGTAAGCTACAATAGCTCAGAGGGTTTCATAGAAGGGTGTCTTTCTTCGTGTATAAACATAGAAGAACTTGATCTATCTTACAACACATCTATTGTTGACTTGGCATTTTTACAAAGCATGCCTATCTTAAAAAAACTTATTCTTGAAGGATGCACAAGCATTGACCCCAAAAATATGCTTTATAACCTGAAAACGTGCAAGGCACTGAAAGTTCTGGATGTTTCTAACTGCTTGCAATTGGAAGGCGAGCACCAAATAACAGGGCTTGTTGAAGTATGTCTGGTGTTGCCACTTCTTCAGATATTTAAAGCTGAATGGAGCTGCCGATTTGCTCCAGAATTAGTAATGGGTATTTTAGACAGCTCTCCTCATATTTCCCAATTAGCTGTAACTCCATCTTTCTGGGGATCCCAATCTGATTTATGGCCTGATATTGTATATGGGCATAAAAATGTAACATTTGGTGAAAGTATAATGCTTCAAATTTAGTCATATGGTCGAAGATTACTGTAATGCAAATCGGCTTCAAACATGATGTGATTAAATAAAGATTTTTTTTGAATACAAGCAACTCGACTATTTTCCTTAACTAGTCTAATCAAAGTATTTGAGATGGTCCACTCTAAAATCTGACTGGTTCAAACAACTGAGATGATTTGTCACTTCATGATAATGAAAATTTTTTTTTGCCAATTATACAATAAACAACAAAAGGTCCGCATTGCTTTGACTAGTTGAATAACAATTTCCTGGAATATTTCAAGGAATATATCATTCAGTTTATTAGTTACTATATAGTAATCAATAGTTATCTCAGCCAAATTGTAAGGCTTCTGCTCAGCTGCATTTCATGCAGATATTTTCGCTGTTTCAACCAGACAGTTTTTACAGTGGGGCCCGTCGAATATAGAATAGTCAGTGCTGTAAATGCTACAAAAACAATTAGCTTATAATCATTTCTTTTATTTATGTGAATACAGATCCTCGTGACCTTGGAAAACTTCACAGAAACAAACTCAGTGACGCAGATATAAAAGCGATTTTGAAGCCAGTCGACTCCAAAATGGGAATACAATACCCTGTGAATCCTCAGAAGAGGAGGTATAATCCTGAGTGGGAGGATAGATTTCCTTGGTTGCGTTATTCGGAATCAGAAGATGGGGCATACAGCTCATGCTGTTTTACCTTTGCCAATGTGTCTACTTCGAATGACCCACTAGTTTCTGCTCCTTTCATGGACTGGAAAAATGCTATAGGTGCTAAAAGAGGCATTCTCACAAACCATGAGCTGACAAAGTGTCACAGGAGTTCATTGGTCGCCGCCGAAAACTTTATGCTCGTGGCTAGAAAAGAGAAAGAGTCTATCAAAGAATCCCTGAATCGTAGCTACTCAGAAAAAGTTCAGAAAAACAGAGATACCCTATGTTCTATTCTTGACGTGGTGATTCTTCTAGCCAAAAGAGGTATTCCATTCAGAGGAAGGTGGGACAAATCTGCTAAAAGAGATAATGGTAATTTTGAATATTTTATTCACTGGCTGGCAAAATATGATAACAACCTGTCTGATCACTTGTCGTCGGCTGCAAAAAACGCACACTATTTATCGCCACAAGTCCCAAACGAAATGATAGATTGTCTTGGTGAGGTTATTCGCAGTACCCTTGTTTCAAATGTCAATCAGAGCAAGTTCATCAGCATCATGGCGGATGAAACAACTGATGTATCGACGATAGAGCAACTGTCTGTCTGTGTACGATACCTTGGCATGTCATCTGCTACCAACAAAGTTGAAGTCGATGAAGTCTTCCTGGGGTTTGTACCGCTACCGAGAACTGATGCAGCTACCATATCCGATCTCTTGATTAATCACCTTGTTAAATGGGGTGTCGATCTTGAGCGTCTCCGTGGAATGGGGTTTGATGGGGCGTCGGTAATGAGTGGAGTTAATGCAGGAGTCCTGGCAAGGATCACTGCCCGATTTCCAAAAGCAAAGTACTTTACCCATTGCTCAAGCCACTGCCTAAACCTAGTCATCGTCGCAAGCTGCAATGACGTGCGTGAAATCAGCAACTTTATGACAATGTCCAGCAAGTAACACTGTTTTTTTCTTACTCTGCCAAGAGAAAAGATATTCTAAAGGAGAAAATGGGTGCGGCTTCCGATGCTGAAGAACTTCTGGCAGACTGTACGTTGGAAGAGCACGAAGAGGAAAATCTTTCGTCCACCTCAAACCGTGAATGTTTACCAACCTTGAGCGACACACGCTGGCTTTCACGAGTTGATTCCATCAGTACCCTTTTGGTGAATTACTCAGCTATATACGATTCTGTATCTGAAGTCATGCTGCAGTCAACAGGCAAGGCATCCCATGATGCATCCGCCTTTTTACGTGCCATGGAGCAGTTCCATTTCATTATTTCAGTGGTGCTAACTCAATACATCCTGGGTTATACACGTCCTCTATCCGTTCTGCTCCAATCAAAGTCGTGCGACTTAATAAAAGCCCACGACGAAGCAAGACACCTTGTGTCCGTTTTAAACGGCGTAAGGAGTGAGGAAAAGTTCAAGATGCTTTTCGATAGAGCTGCCACAATAGCTAAAACAATCGATGTATTGCCTTCCAAACCCAGAACCACTGGCAGACAGGCCCATCGTGCAACCGCACGTGCTGAATCAATTGAAGAATTTTACAGGTATTTACGTTTTTGATCACGATGTCAATAAGAAAAGCAAATAATTTTTACTTGAAAGTTTTAAATCAATTCGTGTTGTTGTCGTTTTCCTAAACTAATCATTTGTATTATTTTGTTATATTTGCTTGTTATTTCTAAGGCTGAATTACTTCTACCCTTTTCTGGACCATGTTATCAGGCACATGGAAGAGCGATTTCCTAAAGATCTCAGGGGTGCTTTACTGGGTGCACTGCTTATACCTGCCAATCTAGACCAACTGACTCAGGCAGAGGAGAGTAAAATCAAATCTGAGTTCGATAAAGAACTCCCCATGCCGCTGACTTTTGAGCAGGAGGTAATACTACTTGTAACTCATGAAAGGTCAACGCAAGTTGTTCTTAACAGCTGTTTAAACTTTTGCTTTTATATCTTCACCTAGGTTATTAGATGGAAAGAAACCCAGAAGAGCAACAGGGGCGTCAACTCACTTACGGAGTCTGTTTCATGTTGCGACAGCACTCTTTATCCAAACATCTCAACTATCCTACAGCTTATTCTCAGTCTACCTGTCGGAAACTGCTCATGTGAACGCAGTTTTAGTTCATTGCGCCGATTGAAGACATGGTCCCGTTCGTCTATGGGTTCTGATCGGCTGAACTCCCTTTCGTTAGCATATGTTCACGATTATATGCAATTGGAGGCTCTAACCATTTTGGAGCGCTGGGACGCCAGTGGCCATAGACGAATCGCTCTTGCGTTCAATCAATAACACGATTTGTAAACTTGAGTGGAATTTCACCAATTAAAGATCTGCATGTGGTAGCTTCTTTGTTTCATTCAATTATTTCTGTCAGGTATACTTGCTTTTCTTTTTTTAATATATATTTTTAACGCAAAATTTAAAGTTACCGAAAGGCCCAGAAAACGCTGCAAATCGCATTTCCGAGAGACTAAAGTTCAAACCTTCTCGGGGGGGGGGGGGGGGGGCATGCCCCTGAACCCCCCTAGCAACTCCCGCCTGCCTCAGTTGGCCGTTTGGTCTGGCTACGGCACTGAATTATGTTCGTTTCTACTCATACATTGCATGAATGATCATCGTCAACGTTATTGTGTATGATTTGGAGGTTGATAGTGCCCCTCATAAAAATGTTCATTCCCTCAACCACGAGCTTAAGAATCGCAGGTTTCAAACTTTGGCATCTGATGATGATTTTGATAGATCATTTACGTGTACGTCGTGTGGAGTTAAACTGACACACCAAGATAAGGCCAGAGCAATGTGGCTGTTGAAGCGACACTCGCATGAAAAATCACATCAAATTAAAGCCGGATGGTATTTGGATGCAAATAACAATGTATTAGCCAGCAAACCAAGAGGTAAGTCAAAACTACTGAACTGTGTGACATCCCAGGGCGGAAACGAAGTTAAATTTCTTGTCATGGACCCTTCAATCGAGACCATGATTTAGGAGATATAACCTGGAAAGATCATCAGTGTCAGGCTGTTTGCTTTGTAAGGCTGTGGAAAACATGGATTGAGAAGTCCACTCATCAAAATATCGCCTTTTCTTTTCATCGTCTTTAAATTAGTTCTTCGGAGATTTTTTGTTTAATGCTTTCTTTAAGCAAAAAGCGCGAAATTTTTTTTGCAAAATTTCACAGAATTTTTTTAACAGCTTTTTCATTACATACATACACTTACATACATACACTTTATTGATGCTCCCTAAGTGGGCTTTTCAGCTCAATAGAATAAAAAAAATACAAATATATAAATTAATTGAGAATGTAAATACAATAATATTATAATTACAAAATATATATCAATAATATAATATAATATATCAACTTAATAAAACATTTGCAAGATGACGTCTAAAATTCCTGGGGCATTTTAAGGACTTAATGTTATCATTCAAGGAGTTCCAGAGTTTGGCTCCTCTGAAAGCAAAGGAGCGCTGCCCTGTTGACAGGCGACATAAAGGTATATCCAAAGCACCAGATGATCGAGTTTGTCTATTATGGACATGAGAACGTGATTTAAACATATCAGCAAGATAGTCTGGAACAAGCTTGTTAATACATTTGTGCATCATAGTAGCGTCATTTAGAATGAGTTTCTCTCTAATAGGAAGCCATTTCAACGATCGCAACCCATCCGAAATATGGTCATACTTTCTTAGTCCCAGAATAATACGCCCAGCAAAGTTTTGGACTTTTTGTAACTTGTCAATATTGCTGCTGCTGGTATTACTCCAGACAGTTGAACAATATTGGAGTTTACTAAAGACAAATGAATTTATTACTAACAGAAGTGTTTTCCTATCCAGGAGGTGCTTGATTCTGTTAATTTGGTACAATTTAAAAAGGCATTTAGAGGCAATCTCAGTGATATGTTGGTTATAACTGAGGCGTGTGTCGAGAAGAACACCCAAGTCCTTAACGACAGGCACAGGTGTTATTTCCTTGTCAAAAAGTGTTATACTGAATGATGACAGTTTCTTTAAAAGTTGTGGTAATCCAACAGCTAGAACCTTAGTTTTGTCCGGATTAATCAAAAGAGAGTTTTTACAGCACCACTGAGATATTCTCGTAAGATCTTCGTTTAAGGCGAGGATGGACGTGGGTAATTCGGCAGGTGAAAAGGACAAATACAATTTACAATCATCAACATAGGAGGCAGATAGACAACGTTTAGGAACAGAAAGGAGGTCGTTAACATAGATTGTAAACAAAACCGGACCTAAAATAGAGCCTTGCGGAACTCCGAACTCAAGTGGGAGTACTTTAGAAACTGCGTCACCAATTGAACGCACTGTTGTCGGTTAGAAAGGTAACTCTGAAACCAATCCAACGCACCCTGGGAAAAATCGAGATTTTGTAGCTTGGATAATAAGATGTCGTGTCGAATACTATCAAATGCTTTAGACATATCTAATAAGACCATGATGGAAACTTTCTTGTTATCCATAGCCTGGAGCAACTGATCTGTAACGTACAACAGAGCTGTTTCTGTCGAGTGAAGCTTTCTATTTCCGCTCTGATGTGCTGCCAGTTTATTATTTCTAATTAGATGCTCCATAAGTTGTCCATGTACCAACCTTTCAGTGTATAAGTTGTCCATGTACCAACCTTTCATGTCGAGAGAGACTGGGCCGAGCGTCATGGCGGAAGGCCACGCGGTGTGAAGAGCAACCTCAAGAAGGGAAAACCTCGGTTATTTTGAATCAGAATTATGACTAAATCCAAAAGGGGAGAAAGAGGCTCCAGCTCTAGTTCTGTTTCATCCAACACCGAATTAAAAAAAGCAAGGATTATGCAAAAGCTATACAAGATGAACGAAGGAAGCTAATAAAGGCGATGTTCAAGGCAAAGGAGCAAGGTTCAGAGGCCAAAGTGGTTGGTAGATATCTGTACATAGGAGAACTAAAGTATGATGTAACAAATATCCCTGAGGATTTTAAGTAGATCAAAGAACGAACATAGATCTGTTCAACTAATTTACAGTACTACTGGTGCAATACAACAACAACTTCTTTAAGTCAGATTGAAGCTAATTAGATTCTGAAAAACACAATATTTAAAATTGTCGAAAGGTCAGTACCTTCTTAAAATACTTCATTTGAGTATCTCAAGGGAGTATGTTTCGGCTAGTGTTTTGGTGGTTAACGTGTGTCCCTGTATTATTTTCTTTTTCTTATCTGTTAGTGTTGTATTTGAGATTTTTTCGAGTGTTTTTCTATTCTAATTTTCGCTTACTGTGTTTCTTTACTAATTTTATCTATGCACAATCAGTATCCTTTACTTGCTTTCAAAGTATGTCTACATTCACGCCTTCGTTTGGTCAATTACACGTCCGGCTCTTTTGTTTTCAGCTATGCAGTCCCACAATTTACATACAGTGTCATTAGTTGTTCAGTGCTTTTAAACTAATATCGCTTAATGTGAAGGGCTTAAGTAATTTCCGCAAAAGAAGAACCATCTTTCTCTGGTGTCGTAAACGTAAAGCAGACCTTGTTTTTTTACAAGAGACGCACTCGATCGCTGCAACAGAGAATCAATGGAGAAGTGAATGGGGTGCTGAGATGATATCTTCCCATGGTAGTTCTAATTCACGAGGTGTTGCGATTTTGTTTAAAAATGGTATTGATTGCAGCATTACGCATAAAATTGTAGACCCCGAGGGGCGTTATATTATTTTAAAAGCTTGCATCCAAGATAAAGACTATGTGCTGATTAATGTTTATGCGCCGAACAAAGATAAAGACCAAGTGAATTTTTTCAATAACCTACTTTCAATTTTGCAAAATGAAAATCTGGATTCTTTGGATAACATCATACTAGGAGGAGATCTAAATTGTCCACTCGATCCATTACTCGACAAAAAAGGCGGAGCAAGTACAAAAAGGAAGTCAGTTATCTCTTGTGTCGAAGATTTCAAAAGTAAATTAGATTTAGTGGATATCTGGAGATCCAAAAATCCAGAGGCAAAAAGTTTTACGTGGAGTCAAAAATCTCCCCCAGTGTTTTGTCGTCTCGATTACTGGTTGATATCTAACAACCTGAGCGATTTTGTTGAATTGACCGAAATAATCCCGGCTGTACGAACAGATCATGATGCAATTTCTTTAGAACTCGGAAAGCTAGAGGGCGAATTGAAAGGGCCAGGAAACTGGAAAATGAACTGCTCTCTGTTAGATGATGAAGATTACGAAGAAGATATAGCCAGGATCATTCCACTTTGGGTAGCGGAAGGACAGAAAGAATTTACAGATAATCGAATGATATGGGATTGGATTAAATATAACATAAGAGCTCATGCTATTCAATACTCTAAAAGAAAGGCAAAAGAAAGGGGGAAAAAGGAACTTGACCTTCAGGAGGAATTAACTAAAGCAAAAAGTAAACTTGAAAATAATCCAAACGACCATAACAAAACCTATTATAACGTAGTTCAGGAGAAGTTGGAGTCATTTTACGAAGAAAAAACCAAAGGCGTAATAATACGAGCACGTGCTAGATGGCATGAACATGGAGAGAAAAGCACAAAATATTTTTTAAACTTAGAAAAAGGAACCACGTTAAGAAGCATATAAGAAAAACTGTGCATAAATGGTAAAATTACAACGGATCCGCACTGTATACTAAAAGGACAAGAGCGTTTTTACAGAGAATTGTACAAAAGCAGCATTAAGAGTCCCAATACAGGAGAGAAAATATCTTCATTTTTGAACGATGTGAATATTCCCCAACTTTCAGAGGAGGAAAAAAATTCCTGTGAAGGATTAATTTCTCCAGAAGAATGTTCTGAACTCTTGGATAGCTTTCAGAGTAATAAATCCCCTGGAAATGATGGCATTCCAGCTGAATTCTATAGAAAATTTTGGCCTTTAATAAGCGAAAGTTTTATCAGGTGTGCAAATGAATGCTTCGAAAAAGGGGAAATGTCATGCTCACAAAAACAGGCTGTAATTACTCTGCTTGAGAAAAGCGGAAAAGATCGCACTCTCCTCGAAAACTGGCGGCCAATATCTCTTGTTAATGTAGATACGAAAATTATGTCCAAGGTGATCGCAGCAAGGGTTAAAAAGGTGTTACCCAGTATCATTCACTACAACCAGACTGGTTATGTTAAAGATCGTTTCATTGGTGAAGCAATACGTTCTATTTTCGATATTATGGACTTCACAGCTAAGGAAAACATCCCAGGTTTACTGCTGTTTATAGATTTTCAAAAAGCTTTTGATAGTGTGGAATGGGAATTTCTCATTGAGAGTCTTAAAAAGTTTAACTTTGGTCGAGATTTCCTTCAATGGGTGAAAACCTTTTATAACAACATTCAAAGCTGTGTTATAAACAATGGCGTTAGTTCTAACTTTTTTACTCTGGAACGCGGTGTTAGGCAGGGTGATCCACTCTCTCCTTACTTATTTATAATTGCTGTAGAAACTTTAGCAATTGCTATAAGGCAAAAAGAGTCAATTAAAGGAATCACAATAAGAACTGAGGAAACTAAGCTTCTACAGTTTGCAGACGATACAACCGCTGTGTTAGCTGACACAAGCTCGGCCGCAAGATTATTTGAACTACTTAACAAATTCGAAATTCTCTCTGGACTCAAGATTAACTGTTCAAAAACTGAAGGTATGTGGATTGGATCTAAGAGACATTATAAAGAAAAACCATTCGGTATTAAATGGCCGGACGAGCCAATAAAAGCTCTAGGTGTATATTTTACTTATAACCAAAAATTGCTTAAAGAAAAGAATTTTATAGAACGACTGGATTCAATTAAAAAACTTATTAATATATGGTCCGCTAGAGGCCTGTCGATATACGGTAAGGTGACAATAATCAAATCTTTTCTTATCCCTAAGTACATTTACATTTGTTCGATCCTTCCAACTCCCAAGGAATTACTAAAAGAATTGAATAAAATACTGTTTAAATTTCTCTGGAAAGGTGTAGATAAGGTAACAAGAGCTTCAGTTATAAACGAATACGAAGAGGGAGGGCTAAGAATGGTTGATCTCGAGTGCATGGTTAAGTCATTGAGATTAGCTTGGTTAAAACGTATCTTCAGTGGGACTAATGGAACTTGGAAAAGCTACCTACAACACATACTGAGCTCCGTTGGGGGATTGTTCTTTTTTAACTGCAACTACAATATCTCGGATTACACAATTCCTTCTCAATTTTATCAGGAACTTTTGTTATGGTGGTCGCAATTTCGTGAAACGTTTGCCACTGAGGAAGATTGGAAAACGATCATCTGGAATAACAAAGAAATAAAAGTAGAAAACAAGCCGGTTTATTATAAACATTATGTTAATGCGAGTGTCATTTGCATTCAGGATCTTTTATTTAGTCTGAACAGTACTGATTCTTATAATCAACTGTCTAAAAAAATATGCAAAACAAATATTTTAGAATGGGCTGGCTTACGCAGGTCCATTCCATTGTCGTTAAGAAGTTATGACAGGTATCCTTCCATAAACTCACCAACAGTTGTGGTGGGTGACAATAATTTTGATGTTACGAAAGGGAAATCAAAGGATTACTACAACCTACTCATCAGAGAAAAAGCTAAACCGCCCAATATTATTCAAAAATTACAGAGTAACTTTAATTTTAACAGCGACAATCTGAAGCAAATATTTAAGCTGCCACACTCTATCGCTGTCGAATCGTATGTTAAAGCCTTCCAGTACAAAGTAATTAACTCAATTCTTTACACAAATACAAAGTTGTATAAAATAGGTTATAGGACAAATGATTTATGTACTTTCTGTGACAATCAACCTGAATCATTAACGCATTTGTTCTTTCACTGCTCACGCTCTAAACAGTTTTGGATTGAATTTGAACTATATTGGTGCCTTATTTCGAATCAACGAATTCGTCTCTGCTTGGAAAATGTGCTCTTTGGAATTTTGACGGAAAATGCTTGCCCTTTACTTCAATTGCTGAACTATTTTATAATTATTGGAAAACTCTATTTGTGGGACTGCAGGAGCAAACAAATCCTTCCAAACATTTGTGGATTTAAAGCCAAGATCATCGCTAAATATGAAACAGAAGAAAAAATCAGCAACAAAGAATTCTTTAAAAGAAAGTGGATACTGACGCCTTATTTAAGTTAACTGTATTACCTCCGTATTATTTCATTGCCCTGTTGTACTTTTTTTACAATTTCTTTTAGCCCTGTAACACCTCCTGTAATAATTTGACAATTTTTTTTTTTTTTTTGTGTGTGTGTGTGTGTTTTGTAAATGTAATTATTTAATGTGATTATCAATAAACATTAAAAAAAAAAAAAAAAAAAAACCTTTCATTGTCGAGAAGGCCTTGTAATTCACTGAAAATCAATTTATCTGATTGTGTGGGATTCTCTTTTTGCTTCAAGGTAATGAGTTGTTAACAAGTTTCTTCAACAAGTCCCAAGAGCGTCCCTCTTTAAGCCGTCCAACTCCTCACGCTCCATATAATTTTCATCAAGCCACTGATAGAAAGCGAAAAGCTGGTTCAGAGCAACAGTTAAGTCAAGATGGTATGATATGCAAAATACGGTTGCTTGTTGATCACGTATTTTTTATTATTATTATCATTCTTTATTTTTTTTTATTTGCAATCATGACATTAAAATACAAAAAAGGAAAAAAATACAGAAAACACACTAAAAGGGAAAGAGGACAAAAAGAAAAAAAATAAAGATAAATAAAAAAAACCCGGAGATTTGATCAACGTACATAATATTAATTTACAATATCATTGCTTACAATTCAAATTTTTTAATTATTAACTTAGTTATTAGTTAAATACACGTGAGATGGCTAAGAGAGATAATAATTATGTCAGGTCAATCTTTCTATTTTCCATTGTGTTTTTAAATTATTTTAAAATTGCGTACAGTTAAGAGGCACCACATTAATTTTACAACTATATACATACTTTTTAAATAAACAGGGTGAGTAGATCTAGTTGGCGTCTGAGGTTGTCATTTATAAAATAACAGTGGAGAGAAAATAATCGCCTCATTTCTCTAACACTCAAACGAGGTATCCGACTCACGTACAACGTTCAATCTTTTTACAGGTTGCTGAGAAAACCAGACAATAAATGAATGTTGCATTCAGCCAAAGATTAAGTGAAATACCAACGGACTCAGCTTCTATGTCGGAACCGCCAACAACCGCTTTAACCCAGTCTATGCCAGTGGAAGAAATCGTCTACAAATCGAAACTGGGGTTCATGGAGCGCCTGTCTAAAGCAAATATGGACATTGAGAAATCTTTTCATTCTACTGCCATGGCTAAGATGCAAACGATTTCAGAAGTTCTGAAGGCAATTTTGAACGTATTGACCGAAAATAGACATGACGTATACAAACAAATGAAAGATACCTTCACGAGACAGTACCGTTTTGGATTATTAAATCAAAGGGTTTGGAGGAATCAGTAGAACTACTACCACTGCATTGATGCAGGATATTGTGGAATGGTGCTCGTTGTCAGAAATGTACAGGAACCAAATTTCCCAGCCTCGACTGAAATTGGCTTTAAAGGAAGATACCATTCCTAAATTGCAGCAAGACGTGGCAAATAAAAACGTACAGCATCAACTGCCAGAAGTAATAGAGCGGAAAAGTGAGAAGAGTGGTAAACTGGTTTCAATCATTTCCGATCTCCTTATTAACAACTTTAAAGACGCCGAACGTTGGAACGATGACACAAAATCATTGTTTGCAATAATTTTAGATTACGGTGGCCCATCGCTTTGAAAATAATAAAAGAGCAAATCGGTGGACCAAGTGTGCAGACCTGTTACGCTACAGCACGTTCTGAAATACCTACCCCCACAAAGCTAGAAGAAGTTATTTTCGGAAAAGCAGCGTCCTTTTATGACCGTATTGGTTGTAAGGGGCCTTATGTTTTAGCTGTCGATGCGAAAGCAATTTTACCTGGTCTAAGAGTGAAGGGAAACAAAGTAATAGGAGTTTCAAGTGAGGAGGATGTTTTCGTTCATACCGCCCAGGACATCATAGAAGTGATACATAGTGAGACAACAGAGAAGGCACGACTAGCTAATGCGTTCATTTTAACCCCCCTCCAAAAGCATGTGCCGAGCTATGTCCTTGCGATCTCACCTGTAGTTAAAGGCCAAGATTTTGTAACAGCGACAAATTGGTTTACTGCTGCAATAACCTATGGAGGTCGACATCATTTGCCAGTAATAGGAATAGGTGCAGATGGAGACTCAAAGTTTAGGAAGTACTTCATTGAGGAGTTCTTGACAAGAACTGGCATGGATAGAACAATTTCCATACCTCATAGAGGTTTTAATTTCCAGAGTGTCATAAAGGATATCGACGGAGTAGCTGTTCCGACCTTAATGTTCCCTGACTGGAAACACCTGATTAAGAAGTGACGCAACCAAATCATAAATGTGCGGCGAATTCTGGTCCTAGGAAACGGCTTTGTTATGATAATTGAAGACCTGATGCAATTGTATGAAACAAAGAAATTAGAAAGTGGCCTGTGGAAAAGTGTTTTGACAGGAGAGTGAGGAAGATAGTTCCCGTGAAAACTCGAGTGACGAAACCTCCAACGCTCGTCTTTTTTCATGTCCGGAATAGGGATGTATCAAATGTTACCAATGTTACTTGAATCTGCAGCAACACCTAGACTCTGGAAAACACACATGTGCTCTCGAACGAGAACCACTCCTAGACCAAGCTGTTTATGGATATGCGTAGAGACTGGAGGTTCAAACAGTGGGCGTCCCCTGTGTACGAAATGTTCAGGAAATGCCAAAACAAGTGCCACTACAGTCTACTCTCCCTATGGGCATGGCATGAAGATCATCCCAGAACCGAAGAACACGTTTTAATATAAAGCAGAAAGAGTACCTACCCACAAAGTTCAATATTGGTGAGACCACGGGACGCAAAGCTGACCCAGTAGTTGTTGCAAAAGAAATGATGCACGCCAGAGGAAATGACGGAGAACGCTTATTCAGCAGCGATGAGTTCCTTACCAGCCAACAAATAAACAGCTTTTTCAGTCACCTTGCTACCGAAGAAAATGATGACGAGGCCGCAGAGTTCGAGAGTTCCCTTGAGGACCTAACAAATCAAGTACGGAGGGAAGTTTCATTACAACATCCAATCGTGTTTGACTGTCATAATATGTCACCTTGTTAAGCAAGGTAAACTGAACAAATTTAGCATAAAAATGCTGAAGAGATTATGCGAGCACTTTGATTTAGACGTCAGTCATATAACAGTCAGACGGAAGAGGCCTTACGTCGACAAACTGTCCACATTTTGTTGCAACTGCTTGTGTCAACAGGAAAATGACATGATCAGGTTTTCGCGTGATTTCCCTGCTCTGACGGGAATCTTCTTTTATTGGGATGATGTTTTTTGTATTTACCTTATAAGAGATCTTAACCTGGGGAATTGAAGGTTATAGGAACGTTGGGTGGGGATATGCCGCTGAGTCACTTATCTTTTTAAGACAAAAAACAACATTCATTTTGCCATCCTTATCAAGACAGGACCCAACTTGTTATGACTCATAACAGAATTCCCATCTTGGCCAGAAATTGAAGACAACATGGCGCTGGAGCATGCACGTCATTTACTTTTCCCATTCTTTAAACATGGCGACCACATGAAAAATTAATGGGGAGAAAAGAAACCTTTAAGGATAAATAAAGTTAGACGAAGAATCGGTCAACTCCCCACGTCTAAACCTTCGCAAGGCGATCGTGGCGTTCAGTCATGTTAATTTGGCAATGTGTCAAGCTCCCAAAGTTGGTCCGTGAGTCACCATAAAAAGATGGCTTTCCTTGCCATACAAGAGTCTGTAATATTGCCTGAGCGCTTCTCTTTAAGCAAGAAAAAAGGTCATTAGATGTCGTTGTCTCCTCCTTCCCCACGTCCTGGTTCTTGAAGGATATGTTTATCTTCATTTTTGTACGGTTTTAGGCCTAACTTCTTTGCTAAACCAGTTCGTTTTTTCCCTGAAATATAGAAACTCCATACGGTGAATCTCTGCGTCATTACTGCACGAAGCGATTGAAAAAGAAGGCGCTTTGGAGACTTTTCCAAACGATAACTCATTCAATCAGCTGCCATTTTCAAAACAGAGAGGTTACCAAGCCAGAGTGACACAGGGAGCCCCGTTTTGTCACGATCGAACGATCACAGCGAATCATCAGCCAAGGGTTGGTGCTTGTCCAATAGGGACTCAGGCTAGATTTTGCACAGCTTGGACTTTAGAACCTGTGTTAGGTTTCGCATTTATTTGTTTTTACACATGTCAAGTAGAATTACTTGAGGCTGGTAAATTGTAAATCTACAAAACGGTAAAAAGTATACGTTCGCTTCCCCGCCATTTTGCGAATGTAGAAATCCTTATTAGATATTCAAAATCCCTAACAATTAGCGTACGGTCAAAACCGCTGGCTGTCCTCGATTTCTGGCCATGATTCATTTAATTCACAAACCGAATCCAGTTTTCTTTTAGAGTTAGATTTAAAAATTTTTTGGTATTTTGCATTCAGACTGCGCACCGCTACGTTTACCCTGTTTAATTCTTCCCGTATAGGAAGACCCAAGTCATATCCTCTTCAGCGGCACATCCCTGTTAACAGCAAAATAAGAGAGTGCTCTTCGGACCAAAATTAATTGCTTCAGTTGTTATCTGCTTCATAAATACATGTAAAATTGTCAATACGATGATCTGTCGAGTTGCCTTATTAGGGAACT